AGTACAAATAGCAGTAGAAATAGCTGAAAAACAAAAATAGTACAAATAGCGGTGGGGCACAAACTAAAGCTGATTGAACGAGCTTTAGTTTAAAGTTTCCCACTGCCATTTTTCAGTGCAGGGACGCTGATACACGTGACACTGGAGTCTGCTGGAGCACAGCGATTACCACGCTCCAGCAGACATGATTAATCAAGTCTGCTCCAACGCACTGTAATTACAGCGTGTTGGAGCTGCCTCCCTGCACGTGTACAGGAGCTCCTAGACATAATTCACAAGATAAACCTTGAGATCTGGAATAAGAATGCAAACATTCTGGTGTGTTGTGGTCTTTCTGAGTTCTTTGCTATAGAAGAATTGTTCTATTATTTTTCTTCAGTCAAAAAAGGAGTGAAAGCTAAGAGCTTGCATTTTTCAACAGATGCCTTGAGCCTAAGAAGGCTGAGAACCACTGATCTACAGTTTAAAAAACAAACAAACAGAGATCACTTGATTTATTTTACTGTCTTACAATGCCAAGTATGCTCACACCTGCACCTGTCCATTCCATCAAAACAGAAAAATAAAAGAGGCTCTAGTGGTCTAATCAAAAGGAAAATAAAATACACAAAAATGAAAAGCAGTAACAAAAAAGCATTGTGGTTGGCCTCTATATGGAAGAAAGAAAAAGAAAGGTTTTTGCACTTTCATAAAGAAACCTCTGTTAAAAAAAAAGAGGGAAAAATCCCTACTAGACATTAGGACATCCTAAATTTAAAATTAAGTTGAGTTAAACTGTGGTTCTATCACTGATCCTGCACCTTGGTAAATCATTTCACTTCTCACCCTCGGTCTGATGGTATTAAAAAAAAAAACACACCTCCTCACCTCATCTACTTACAGGTGGTTTAGTTCATATCTTGTAAAATGTTTTAAACATAAAAAGCCTGATGTCCACGATCACTACTGTTAAAGCAGTCTATGAGAATGTAACCATATAATTCCAACAGAGAAACACTAAATACCTGCAATAACTATACTTTATTTAATATACAGGGACAAGAAATTATGATTAAGCAATAAAGGCATAATAGCCATTACTCAATAGTTATACTCCTTATGACAGATCATTTATCTATACCTGCTGTTGTCTTTGCCGTCTCATCTGCGCAAACTGAGACAGCATTATCTGACGATCCAGTAATTCCATTCTCTGCTGTCTCTGGATGTCTACTGTTGCTCCCATTCCTACTCGAATCTCACTGGATGGTTCCGCAGTTGAGAAAATTGGTTCAAGAGTCCAAGAAAATATCTTTGCTACCCAACTGGGTATACAAATTACTTGATGAACTTTTAACACACTACTGTTGTAGCAGATTCCAGAAATCTGAAAAAAAAAATATTAAGAGGAAAATAAAAACAAAGCATTTTTAACTGGCTATTAAATAGAAATTACTTCCTCATTTCTTAACACAAACTTCTTCTGGCATATACAACCAGAGTTTTTGGGAGAGAATCAAGGAAACAGCAAGGGATTTCTTTGCCAGCTATGATTTCTAAAAGTATTTCAATTACATTATTTGTAGTTCAGATACATTTCTAGTTTCTTTGCTTCGGAGTCAAGCCAAATATCATTAAACAGAGTGACTTAACTATAGGCAAAATCTGAATGAATGAAAAATAAAACCTTCTATTTCTGGTGAAACAAATAGTTTTTCATTCCACAAGCAATTAGCCATAAGAATGCCATGAGAAAAAAGCACGAGTAAAGAAGAAAACTGTAAATATGACAATAGCAGTGCTCATGTAAAAGAAATAAAACCACCACTAAAGAAAAAGAACCACTCCATATTCAGGTAACCTTTAAATATCTATTAGAATTTCACTAACAGCTGCAAGAAAATGTAGAGATGTATTGATGCAAATAAACCAGGAGAAAGTATATAAATCAACTCAAACCAAGTTACTTTTTATTCAGACCAATTACTCGAGTGAATCAATGAAAATGTACTGCTGCTCTGGTTGGGGAAAGTTCCCATTAATTATAATAATCACTTGTAATGAAAGGTTCAGAGTGGCTATGTTATGTATATAATATCTATTTATACCATATGTATAAGAACCCTAAATTAAAAATGACACGTCTAATCCAGCCATTTGTGACTTTTTTACAATATTTTGCAGGAAACAGAAAAGAGAAAAGAGGTGGGGAGTAAACTGGGAGGAGAATACAGGAGCTACATAGCATAGTTTCCTTACCGGTACAGTAGAACTGTCCTTATCTGAACTTTCCTTTAACCGAAAAAGGTTTTGATTTGATTCCAAAGAAAAACAATAGCTGTGAATTGAGCAGGGAGCTTCTATGTTCTATCTAAAATATTTCTCCCATCTCAAATAAAAAAGCTTTAACAGGAGACTGTAAACCTCCACCAGAAACTTGTCCATGTCAACTGGAGACTAGTCTATGGCTACAAACCAAGGACATCGGTTTGACATTTCCCATGACTCTCCAGAATTTCTGGTAGGTACTATAATGAGTGCACACCCATATTTTGTAAAAAAAAAGTTACTGTCTTAAAACTGAACATTCTTAAATGAGGTCAGTGGATAAAAGCACAACATCTTTATTAGCCACAAAACAAAAAAACAAACCAAGTGAGGACAGGAAAATCTACATGAAAATGAACATGTGACAAATCCTAGAGTGTGATTAAAAGTATTGGTGTTAACCACAAACAGAATCATGCACATCAGGTTCAAAGAGCAGGGAAACAGGAGTACCTGCACCTCTGGTATCTTAATTCTCGTTTGTTCCGGAAGACGTAGAGTCAACAAGCAAGACTGGCAAGAACTGTCCTGATGAAAGTTTTACCATATTTTCCTTTTAGACCTTTTTAGACCACAGCCTATCAGAGGAATCTTTATAAAGACAGTAAAGTATATAGTAGGGGAAACTCCAGGCAAGTGGAGGGCTGGTGAAAGAGGTACGTGATATCACTTTCAAGCCCGCAATACATTGCTTAGTAGTTATAACATGTAAAGGAAGAATTCTCTTCAAAGCAATGAGACCACAGTTAAGCAACTTTGAAGTTATTCAAAAGCATAAATGGACAGAAGAATGTATGCAACTGAAAAAAGTTGTTTAAATGCACACGTTTTAAATTCCTCTAACCACTTCCGTATCTGTTGTTCTATTTGGTTTTTAGCATCATCTTATGTCCCCTGTGATTTATTAGCATGGTAACAGACACCGTCTATTAATACCGCAGTCTGTCTTATGACATTTTCACTAAGTCTACCCTGAGGAAAAGTTTATCTATTTGCATATTTCCCAAAAGCCTTTGAAGAATGGAATTATATATAGTTAAATATCTTGTGATTCAGTTAGGTTAAGTGTCATGTGCACGCTTTAATGTCAAGTATTTCCGAAGAACTTCCTCTTCAGCTAGGTCTCACAAACTACCATTTTAGAAACAAGAGCTGAACAGAGACATAGAAATGTTCAGTTACTTTATATTAATATTCAGTGATCAAGGTATAGGTATAGGTTTAATGTCAGATGCATTTAATTGTTAAAAGGCTATTCCCAAAAACCTATGAATAGTCAGGCCCTTACAACTTTTAAAAAAAGCAAAGTCTCTGTGCAATAACTTTTTAGGTAAATTCACTTCACTAAGAGTAAGAAGTATGACATATTTTGGATTTTAAGCTGAATGTATGTATTCAGATTTAGTTTTTGAAGTTTGAACATAAAAAATGACAGGGTTTTCCAGCATAAATTTAGGATTAAACCCATCCAGGAGCAAACAACCCTTTGCATGTTACAAGGTTTTGGTGCACACAAGTTTCTTATATTTATATTTTAACAGGTAGTCTTTAACATAAATGCTTTCTGCTCTGTCAAAAAAAGGTCAAAGTGTTGTCCTCTTCAAAGCACTGCACCCTTAAGAAAAAGGAAGCTGTGGTTTTTCTTGTTTGTTTGGTAAACCAAACAAAAAATTCTATGACAAACCACTGCACAGTAGAAAAAAAACATATGGTTCTTTTATTAACTGAAACATTTAACATACAACAATTTGCATGCAATTCATTAAGGAAGGGAAAACCAGGGAAAAAAGTAGGTAAATTAATGTGTTCACTTTCAGTGGTTTGCGGACAAATAGATTCAAAGAGATTAAGACGAGACAATACTATTAGATGATCTAGTCTGATCGCTGGTATAACATAAGCAGATGTATTTCACCTTACATTAGGTCTAATAATTTGTTTGATTAAAGCATATCTTCTAGAAGGCTGTCCAGACACCAAGAGAAGAAAATCCACCATTTCCTTTGGTAGTTCAGCAGTTAAATGACCAGAATTGTAAAAAAGGTTAGAATGTAGGTACAATTTGAATTTTTCTGGCTTCAATGCTAAATACTAGTTCTTATTAAACCTTTTTCTCCATTAGACAGTTTTCTCCACTAGTACCAAGTATTTTCTCTTTGTAAAGGTACTTACCATATTTACTTGTATATAAGACAACCCCCCAATAATTAGATTCTATATATGGAAAATGTATATATTTGTTATCATTTTCCAGGTATAGAATCTAATTATTGGAGGTTTATCTGGAATTTGTTCCCCTCCCACTGCTATAGCAGGGAAGGTAAATCTGGTGGGTCAGATAGTCCACTTGCCTGTCCACCCCGCCCCACCACAGCTTTTCCCCTGCAGGCCTTTCCTTACTATCAGGCCCTGCTTTCCCTGAGCATATGGAAGTAACAAGCAAATTTGAAAAGACTGACCTAGAAAGAAACATACCAGCAGTATGCAGCTTTAGCTCAGGTACCCCATAACACACTTTTAAGCAGTACTTCTGTACCTAACTGAATATATTAAAATCTATTTTTATATCTTTTTCAAGGCCAAATTAGTTCCAAATCCAATTGGGCAAAGCCTAAGAGTTGAGCTCTAAAATCTGACTAAACAGAGCTGAATTGTCAAATCTGTATGGCTCTACCACCATCTTCCCTCCCAGAGCCATTTGTGTTAAGTTTCAAATATACTCCCCAGATCTGAGTAGGCATCCTATGTGCAAGCCTGAAGCCTGGAGCTCTTAGGACTCAGGTGCCCCTTGTCTCCATTGATCTTAGCCAAAAGGCCATGACGCCTTTAGCTATATAAGTTGCGTGTATATACACGTATATTACTTTTCCTATGAATGACACTAGTACAAAGCCAAAAGGCTCATAGTTTATTGTACAGTTCATTGGGCTAGGCCACAGCAAAGACAACAGCATTTGACATAATCATGACCCCACAGCTCAACACTGATCATTATATTTGTATACTCCAGATACCCCCAACAAAGTATCTACATGCTAATAAGCTCCTCACCCATGACTGGAACCAGGTGCTTTTGTCACAATTCCTGGCATCCATGAAAAAATTATATGCAGATGAGTCTCATGGCAAATTGGTCTGGCTCCACCTCATGGAGGGCAGGGCCACACTAATCATATGTGATAGGTTGAGAGAGGGGTCAACAGAGGGATTCTGGTCAAGCTGTTTGGGGCCCCATTCAGTGATGTTGGCCAGACATTTAAGGCTGGTTAAAAACCAGGATGCAATGAAAATGGGAAAGAAAAGTGCATATCAGCTGTGAAAGTGAAGAGGAAGTTGAAATGTATTCAATATAGTGGCTCACCATGACTTTTGAGAGTCAGTGCTGAAGGGGACTGAGCACAATGGGCACTACTAAATATCTTATTCAGATGGGCTGCACTAAAGAGTGAAAGGACTGGGAAAACTGGTGGGGGAGCTGGGAGGTGGGTGAAGGGAGCAGGGAGGGTGGAGGGCACCGAGGTGGTCCTTTGCATAATTGTGACAGTTAAAGATGATGGTGACTGGCAAGCAGACATATTGTGCAGTTTTGTAACAGGAATGAGTTTTGTAACTGTAAAGGTATGTTTTGGACTGTCCAAGCTGTTACAAGACAAGCTGGTAAAGGTATAGAGGAGAGGGGGGTGTAGATGTATATTTTTTGCCAAAAAAAAAAAAATCAGCATTTTTGGCACCAGGGAAGGGTGTCAGAACTTGCTCCAACCTCTCGCAGTACTGGCAACTGCCCTTCTTAAGGGCCATAAAAAGTCTCCCATCAACATTTTTGGCACCAGAGAAGCAGGTTGTAGCTTCTTCTGGCCTCTCTGAGTGCTAGCCTGGTATTACAGTACCTCCATGCCAGTGCCTGTTCCCTCCTAGAAGAACAACTTCCTTTTTTCTAAGGGCTACACAAAAAAGGTTCCCATCAGTAAGTGTGCCCCATATGGGCTATGCATTTTATAGTCATACTCACCATTGGCTTTACATGCCAATTTGGCAGCAGCTTAATGATAGATAATGTAT